GAGTGGATATTATCCAGTTACTCCCATAACATAATATTAAGAGGCCAGTATTACAAAAATTGGCATACTATAGCTTTTGCATTCAGTTGGGTTCGTGGATATTATCAAGTTACTCCCAAAACGTGATATTAAGAGACCAGTGTTACAATAATTAGCATACTATAGCTTTTGTATTCAGTTGGGTGAGTGGATATTATCCAGTTACTCCCAAGACGAGATATTAAGTGGCCAGTATTACAAAAATTGGCATACTATAGCTTTTGCATTCAGTTGGGATCGTGGATATTATCCAGTTACTCCCAAGACGTGATATTAAGAGGCCAATATTACGAAAATTAGCATACTATAGCTTTTGCATTCTGTTGGGTGAGTGGATATTATCCAGTTACTCCCAAGACGTGATATTAAGAGAACTGTATTACAAAAATTGGCATACAATAGATTTTGCATTCAGTTGGGTTCGTGGATAGTATCCAGTTACTCCCAAGACCTGATATTAAGAGACCAGTGTTACAATAATTAGCATACTATAGCTTTTGCATTCAGTTGGGTGAGTGGATATTATCCAGTTACTCCCAAGACGCGATATTAAGAGGCCAGTATTACAGAAATTTGCATACTATAGCTTTTTGCATTCAGTTGGGTGAGTGGATATTATCCAGTTACTCCCAAGACGTGATATTAAGAGGCCAGTATTACAATAATTGGCATACTATAGCTTTTGCATTCAGTTGGATGAGTGGATATTATCAAGTTACTCCCAAGACGTGATATTAAGAGGCTAGTATTACAATAATTGGCATACTATAGCTTTTGCATTCAGTTGGGTGCGTGGATATTATTCAGTTACTCCCAAGACGTGATATTAAGAGAGCAGTATTACAATAATTAGCATACTATAGCTTTTGTATTCAGTTGGGTGAGTGGATATTATCCAGTTATTCCCAAGACGAGATATTTAGACGCCAGTATTACAAAAATTGACATACTATAGCTTTTGCATTCAGTTGGGTTCGTGGATATTATCCAGTTACTCCCAAGACGTGATATTAAGAGGCCAATATTACGAAAATTAGCATACTATAGCTTTTGCATTCTGTTGGGTGAGTGGATATTATCCAGTTACTCCCATAACGTAATATTAAGAGGCCAGTATTACAAAAATTGGCATACTATAGCTTT